TTACTGCTGAAGAAACTTTGTCTGTTGGGTTTTCCGGTTACGTTGATCAAGTGGATTTCTACTTATTTGTCGAACCGTACTCAAAGAGTTGCATTCAAGGGTTCATTCTCAAACCTTGTTCACGTGACTTCTGGTGTTCCTCAAGGGAACCACCTCGGTCCTCTTCTATTTGGCATTTTTATAAATGATCTGCCCCAAGTTATTCTCCACTCTTACGTCTTGATGTATGCTGATGACGTAAAACTATGTTTGCCTCTTGTGAATCCTGACTCTGCTCAGCTTTTGCAAGCTGATTTAAACAACATGATGTCCTGGTGCACTCACAATTTATTGTTTCTTAACAACTCCAAATGTAAATACATGTCGTTTTACCGCAGAAATTGTTTCCAGGCTAACTATTCCTTAGGCACGAGTGTTCTTGAACGTATCCACTCTGTAACGGATCTTGGTGTTCTATTTACCCACAACTTGAGCTTCACCGATCATATCGGTATAATTGTTGGTAAAGCAAAGGGTGTTTTTGCTTTCGTAAAACGATGGTCTAAGGAATTCGATGATCCCTACACTACAAAACTTTTATATATATCCCTGGTTCGGCCCATACTCGAATATTGTTCGTGCGTATGGTCCCCTCAATATGCAAAGTATCAGGATCTTATCGAATCGGTACAGAAACAATTCCTTTTGTTCGCTCTTCGGGGTTTAGACTGGGACCCACATCGCCACCTTCCTCCGTATGCCGAAAGACTACGCCTTCTGGACCTGCCCTCTCTTAAGGATCGTCAGACCTGCCATGGCGTGATGTTCCTGCATAAATTAATAAATGGATATATTTTTTCCAGTAATCTTCTTAAACAAATACGCTTTTCAGTTCCTTCTAGGCCATCACGTTACTTTCGGCCTATAGCTTTGGATATTTGTAAAACTAATTTCGAGGCACACGATCCTTTTCGCGTTTTATGTTCGCTTTACAACGACATGTACTTTCTGTTATATTTTGAAATGTCATTAGACTTTAACAAAAATAATATCTTAAGACACCTATCCTTGCCTCTGACCACCTGATGTGAGTCGGAGCATATCATTAAAAAACACTCCTTATCCGGTCTGAGGTAAGGATATGGATTTAAAATGGCAGATATTTGCTATTCTTAATAAATAAATAAACTACAAGTGCCGCGTTGCTCGGATGGCCGCCAAACGGTGTGGAGAAAGCCTAATATCGAACTACAAAAAGAGAACCTTGCAATGTCCGTAAAGCATGGTGGTGGAAGTGTCATTGTGTGGGGTTGCATGTTCGCTGCCGGTGTCGGAGAACTCCAATTTATAGAGGGCGTAATGGACAAAAAATATTATTTATATATTTTGAAGACACATCTAAAAAAAAGTGCCGAAAACTTAAATTTACCTCCGACATTTACATTTCAACATGACAACGACCCGAAACATACGGCTCATGATGTGCGCATGTGGCTGGCATATCATGTAAACATACTTTGCCGCATCCGCCACAATCTCCAGATCTAAACCCCATCGAACATTTGTGGGAAGAGTTGGACAGGCGCGTAAAAAAACGCTCCATTTCGACTAAGGCTGAGCTAAAAGTGGCGCTTGTAATTATTTGTAATAATTTTGTTCAGGCAAATGAAACTGTTTTTTTAGTTTTTTAATTTTATTAAATTAATGGGAAGAGAGAAAATAATGAAATAAATCTAATTCTGTTGGAAATTGATTAATGAATATAAATAAAATTTGTTTTATTTAAATATCGCCATATGTAATGGAGAAAAACGGTGCCAAAGTCAGACATGCCAACTGTGCCAAAAATTGAGTTCGTCACTGTAGGTTTTTTTTGCGATCAAAGTTAGGCATCGAGTTTGTCCGCATACTTTTTCTTGCATGTGTACATACACTTGCTCTCATATCTCTGCGTACAGGACAATAAAAAATCATAAAATTGACTTTAATGTCAAATAACTCTGCAAATATTTTGCACTGCGAATCAAAAATTGGTTCAATCTATTAGTCATTCAATTGACGTCGCCTCTTTATTTTTGCAGAATTATGAGCCTAGCGGTTTTCTTATAATGACCATTTTACCCAAACCCCTTTAAAAATAGCATTCTCAAAAGTGTGCGTACAGCAAAGAAGATTGTCTTTTATTTACTGATTAGTAACTTGTCGGGTAGCCCTTAGTCTTCAAAACTTCCCTCAGACGTTTAGGCATCGATTCCACTAGTTTTCTTGTATCCTCTGCTGTTATTTTCTGCCATTCCTCTAAGATTACAGCCTTTAGCATAGGTTTGGATGTAATGATGCGTTTCCGTATAAGACGCTCCAAAAGATCCCACAAATGTTCGATTGGATTCAAGTCTGGTGATTATGGAGGAGTTCGCAACTGTTTTTTTGTATTATACAGAAGTCAAAGCTTGACATTGTGGGCAGTGTATTTCGGGTCATAATCTTGTTGAAAAATAAAGTCCCCTTCCAGACCTAACCGTCTATCACTTTCAACCAAATTTACCTTCAGTATGTCAATATAGGCCCTATGGTCCATAATTGAGTCTATAAAGGAAAGATTTTCCACGCCGTTGGCCGCCATACATCCCCATATCATAACTTTGCCTCCTCCATGTTTTACGGTAGGCATTAAAGTTTGCTTTTCCAAGGCAGTACCACTCTTCCGCCACACATATTTTTTCCCCTTAATGCCGAAAATGCAGAACTGGCTTTTGTCCGAAAAAATGACTTTATTCCAAATTCGGATGGCTCCGTTATGTGGTCATTTGCAAAATCCAATCGCTTTTTCTTATTAGTTTCGGAAATAAAAGGTTTCCTTCTGGCCACGCGGCTTTTGTATCCACCTTTTTTTATTGCCCGTCGTATGGTATTATCTGATACGGTTTTGGAAAACCATTCCTCACCTTCCAGTTTAAGCTTGTGCGCTGTTAATTTTGGATTGTTCTGGACTAGTTGGAGAATTTTTGATATTTCTCTTTTCATTAACTTGCTTGGACGGCCAGATCTGGGCGCTGATAAGATACATCCCGACTTTGCGTAATTGGTAATAACTCTTTGAACAGATGAGTGCGATCTGCCAATGGATTTTCCAATCTTACTGTAGCTTTTGCCTTTAAGATGCAGTTTAAGTATGATTTTTCTTTCGTAAGCGCATATCTGCTTTCCCTTAGACACCATAGTCACAAATGCATATATTACCAATTAAAAATTGATTAATCAAAGAATCAAAGCGAACTTTAAACAAAAATAGAATTGCATTGGACATTAAATTACGATCTTCTTTGCTGTACGCACACTTTTGAGAATGCTATTTTTAAAGGGGTTTGGGTAAAATGGTCATTATAAGAAAACCGCTAGGCTCATAATTCTGCAAAAATAAAGAGGCGACGTCAATTGAATGACTAATAGATTGAACCAATTTTTGATTCGCAGTGCAAAATATTTGCAGAGTTATTTGACATTAAAGTCAATGTTATGATTTTTTATTGTCCTGTACGCAGAGATATGAGAGCAAGTGTACATATGTATGTACATATACTTCAGAGCACATTAATGCAAATCTGTTACTACCCTGCAGTACCATTCATCAACAATTCATCAACGTTTCATCAATAGCCGAAGGGGTGTTGTTGATGATTCATCGATGAATGGCCATACAAATTACTGATGAATTTAACATGGGCATGTCATAGGCATTCATCAACAACAATTCATCAACAATTAATCAACAATTCATCGATGAATTGTTGATGAATTACTGATGAAAGGCTGATGAAATGTTGATGAATTGTTGATGATTCATCGATGAATTCTTGATGAATTGTTGATGAATAATCAACAATTCATCGATGAATCATCAACAATTCATCAACATTTCATCAGCCTTTCATCAACATTTCATCATCAATTCATCGATGAATTGTTGATGATTTTTTTTTTTCATATATAAAAATAAAACTCTAAAATTTTTATTAATATTATTTATTCTAACTAATTCTATAACAAAACTAAAACACAAATATAAAAAATTAAGATTAAGCATCCATATATTAAGAGGCCTGAAGGTCTTTTTGATTCTTGGTGTTCCGCTTTTTATTCATGAAGACCAAATTTATTGCGCAGTATCTTCTCTGGAGGCTCAGTTTTAGTCACTTGGGAAATTGCATCTACAGAAAAAATTATAATTAATCAAGGGAAAATATATAATTTAATTAAATAAAATTACCCAATATATTGGCCATTACTGCAGTCTGAAAAGAAAATACATACATACATATATAAATATAATATATTAATATATTATATACATATAATAAATAAAATATTATATGTACATTTATAGGCTTCTATTTAATTAAGAACAATCTTTTTACTCACCTTTTTTTTATATTTCAATATGGCCCGGAACGTAATTATTGAATTATTTGATTTCTTAATATTTTTAACACACGACACTTCTGCAGTGGAGAACACTTCAACTTGTAATGCAAAGGGAATAAGAAGAAGCAAGACGAAACCGAAAGCCGAAGACCGAACATTTCTTTCCCCCTTCTTTCGCTCTATCACCATCTCTCTCTAATTTTCGGACAGTTGCGTTTCTTAGTTTGTTTCGGACTTCAATAAACGAAGCCCATGCAAATTGTTTTTGTTTTTTTTTTGACATGCACCAACAAATCGGACTCGAAGGGAGTTCGGGTATCCGAAGGGAGTTCGGGTTCAAGTAGCAGTCGGCAGAGCGTCGATTCTGTCGACGTCGCAGTCGGCGCGTTGATGAAAAGGCCTATTGATGAAATGTGGTACTGCAGGGTATACAAACATATGTATCTACATATGTACACATATATGTACATAGGTTTGTATGTATGTATGTACATATAAGTAGTTAGTGGTCGAGACAGCAACATTTTTGTGTATGAATGTATAAATCGAAATGTTAAGTGGTTGTTATTAGTTTTATTATTATAAAACTACTTAGTTACCAGTAGTAAAAACGTTTTGAAGAAGTATTTGACAGTTTCCAAAGCACATGTATGGGAAAATCAAATAGGCATACTCCTTATGTATAAAGCAGTGGATGATAGTATTTATATTTCGATGTTTAAACTGACGAATGTTTAATACTTGTTTACATATAAAATCAAACTTTTCCATTTTCTGATCCAGTAATATTTTTTCAATAACAACATTTCTATTTGAATTTCTGAAATTTGCTTTGTAAACGGATCCAAATTGACCATCTTTAAATTGTGCTAAGAAATTATAGTGGTTTATATTGCTACTGAACATCAAGAGGATTAGTCCATAAACTACTCTTACGAAATATGGTTTTAAAATGTGTCAAGATAGCACCGATTAGGGATGTAAACAATATATCAATACATCGATATTTTCTAATAACAAAAAATATTTAAATGTCATTTTTGTTGCGGTAACAAAACATTCTGTCCTGAGCAACGCCAGGCTAGCTTAAGATGTCCCATGGCAGGTTCGACCCGGTGACCGCAAGTCCGCACATTGAAATACCGAAAATGTCGGACGTCTCATCACTTCGAAAACGCACATCACTAACATCAAAACATAAACAAACCAGCAAATTTGGACAATTTGGAAAAACAATCGGCAAATTAAAGTGTGTGTATCGGGTATAGCCTATAAGTTTGAATGATATGTCTCAATGAATAAGCACGAGCTGTCAAAATAAGACCTAAAACCCCAACGATTCGGCCCCGACGGGACTACCTTGTATCATTGTGTCATGATTTGGTAGGGCTGGGAAACTATCGATAGTGGCACCATTCTATATTCTCGATGTTTTGAAAGCGAAAAATTCGATACTATCGATAGTATCGATCAGCTTTTCGGATGTTGAATGTGCTTTAATGTTGTGTGGGAACACGAGTTTCACATTTGTGAAAAATCCCAAATTATACAGTATAATACTGTCTTCCCACACAGCACATTTGTGAGGAACGTTTGGGATTTTTCACAAATGTGAAACTTATACAGTATAATACTGTCTTCCCACACAGCACATTTGTGGGGAACGTTTGGGATTTTTCACAAATGTGAAACTCGTGTTCCCACACAACATTAAACAGTATTATACTGTATAATACTGTCTTCCCACACAGCACATTTGTGAGGAACGTTTGGGATTTTTCACAAATATGAAACTCGTGTTCCCACACAACATTAAACAGTATTATACTGTATAATACTGTCTTCCCACACAGCACATTTGTGAGGAACGTTTGGGATTTTTCACAAATGTGAAACTCGTGTTCCCACACAACAATAAAGCACATTTAACATCCGAACAGCTGATCGATCAGCTGTGGCTCATGAAAACGTAAACAAAGGCTGTCGAATTGGCAGTTGCAAATTTGAAATTGAGCATTTACCAACTATTTTGGCTGTTGTACAACAGCAAAAGGCACAGATTGCGTTAGAATTTATCAGCAATAAATTTAAATGAATTAAATGACAAGGAATTTTAGTTTTTCTAATGATTTTTCTCTAACAAAGAGCAAATTCCCCGAAGAGTGTCTATAGGTGGTAAGGCATCCAAAATCTTCAAAATAAGGTAGAGGCAGGCGGTTTATATTAAATAGTAACAATTGGGGACATATTGGGGCAAGAATATACAGAAAAAACGCCAACAACTACTTTGGGCATGCTTGTAGCTTTGGCGCCACGTTTTAAATTCCATATCTCATTTGTTCCTCTCCAATTTGTTTACATTTTCGTGGTGAATGGTCAAATTAAGAAGAAGAATCACAGTTGCACCGAAAAACTATCGCCTAACTATCGCCAAACAAACCGTGTTTAGATTTTAATGTTGATCTAACGACGGTCCATTTGGGAAAATTTGGAACGGCAAAACCTTATGGACCGTTTGTTCAACGGATGTTGAATGTGCTTTATACGGTCTTCCCACACAGCGCATCTGTGAGGAACGTTTGGGATTTTTCGCAGATGCGAAACTCGTGTTCCCACACACCGTCAAAGCGCATCTGGCATCCGAACAGCTGATCGATCAGCTGTGGCCCATGAACAAAGGCTGTCGAATTGGTTTTTGCAAAATTAAAATGGAGCAGTTACCAACTACTTTGGCTGTTGTACAGCAGCAAAATCTTAGATTGCGACAGATTTTAATGTCGCTAAGTGTAAATGACGACGACGACTTGGAAGCTCTCCTTGAAGTCTATTGCTCTACCAAAGAGCAAATGCCACGAAGCTTGTGGATGGTGGTAGGTGCTACCAAAATTTAATTAAATACAGATTAAATATGATTTGTAAATTAAATAGAAGCGATTCGGAACATTTTGGGAGAAGGATATACCGGAAAACAGCGATGAGTTCTTTAAAGAGAGCTTTCGAATGGAGAAGCGTACTTTTTCCTTTTTGGTGGATCGCCTAGAAGTTCTCCGAAAGAAGGATACCAACTGGCGAACAGCAATTTCTTTGGAGAAGAGGATTGCTATCGCCTTGTACACCTTGGGATCATCCTCGGAGTATCGTTCCATTGGAAGGCTATTCGGTGTTGCACAAAACACTGTGTGCAAAATCCTCCATAAATTTAGCCGGGCTGTCATTGCCGAGTTTGCCGGTGAATTCATGTCCCCTGACTATTTAACTCTGGAAAAAGTTGAGGAGTGTGTCAGGGGCTTTGAACTAATTGGATTTCCCCAATGTCTAGGAGCAATTGGTAATAAATTAATTCATTAATCAGTTCACTTACATATTTAAAATATATATGTATATCTATATTCTAGATGGTTGTCATATCGAAATAAAACCATCGGCAGCAGATGCAGTCGATCATCACAACTATAAAGGTTGGTACTCAATAGTACTATTCGCTCTTGTGGATTACAGGCAAGTTACCTGCTCTTTAGATGTTTTATAATCTGCTAATTGTATTAAATTGTATATTAACTATAGGTACAGATTCACCTACGTAAACATCGGCTCTGCAGGGCGTTGCAACGACTCGACTATTTTTCAAAAGTCTAGCCTTGCAAGGAAATTGGGGTCGTCTACATTAATTTGGGAAAAATCAAAGGAAATCTGTGGCGTACAAGTTCCGCTGCTGCTTATTGGAGACTCGGCTTTCCGATTTTCCCAAACGCTGATGAAACCAATCCCATTTTCGACGACCGCGAGCATAGAAGAGCGCACATTTAACTACAATTTGTCCAAAGCTAGGCGAGTTGTAGAAAATGCTTTTGGGCATTTAAAGGCCAGGTTTCGGTTTGTTGGAAAGGGACTTGACAGCCACTACAAAAACAATAATGCAATTGTTCTAACCTGTTGTATTTTGCATAACATTTTAAATGAGCACAACAGCGTTATTAATGATAATTGGCAACTGGCTACCAGTGACCTTCGTGAACAACCCAATCGAACCAATATGTCTGCAGATTTTAGCCAGCCTGCTGAAAAAGTTAGAGCAGCAATTGCTCAATATTGTCTTAATGGAAACAAAAATATTTAAATAAATAGTGGTTTTATTTTTTAAGCTCTCCTTGATTTTGCTATTTAATTTGTTTTAGTTCCTGGACTCCCTCAAAAATTGGAGAAGTTCCGACTGGAACTTCTCCTGGCTGTCCGCCATTCGTTGCAGAATTTCTGTCTGCGCTTTCTGCTCCTCCAGCCTCTCTCGAGCAATTTCGACCAGCTCACTCTTTTGTTCTAATCTTGCTCTTTTGGCCGGAGGCAAACTGCCGGAACGACGACTTCCACTCAGATTTGATTCCTCCGGGTCCTCTAGAACTTCCTCCGAAAAGTACTGCGTCGTATCTGCAATAAAAACATGTTAATTATTGAATGTACATAAGAACTATCTGGGAGGGAACTTACTCTCGTTGTCCACCGTATCCTGCTCCAAGTTATGGACACGGAACGAGCCGAGGAACGCTTGCAGCGTCTCAAAATGTTGCCAATCATTTGGCCCCATTTTGTTTTTTTCCTGCCTGCAATAATAATTTCGCGGAATTAATTAATGCAATATATTCTGGTACTCATATTTACTTGTATTTCCTTGTCATGTTCTCCAGCTTCGTCTTAATATCCTTCCAATATACATCATACCCAGCCTCCATCAAGGTCTGGGCCATCTCCATATACACATGGCTATTTTTTCGCGATCCCCGCAAGTGCTCAATATTTTCCTGCCATACATCGATGAGCAGGCACTCCATATGCAGGGTCCATCTCAGCTTCCCACCGGCGGTTCTAGAATCATCTGCAAAATTAAAAACAATTATCAATATTAAAATGTAAACAACCTGTTAATATACAACCTGTTGCATTGGCGCCTTCCATTTTTCATTTGTTCCTCGCAAGTTTGTTTACATTTTCGTAGTGAATGGTCAAATTAAGAAGAAGAATCAGAGTTGCACCGAAAAACTATCGCCAAACAAACGGTCGTTACATTTAGATGCGCTTTGATGCAGGGCCAATTGAGAAAATTCGGAACGGCAAGACCTTATGGACCGTTTGTTCAACGGACGGTAGATGCGCTTTGACGGTGTGTGGGAAGACCCTATTAATGTTGTGTGGGAAGACCCTATAAAAGTGAAAATTTGACCAATAATACGAAAGTGTATACACACTTGGCGATGAAGGATTGAAATATGGAATTTAAAATATGGCGCCAAAGCTACAAGCATGCCCAAAATAGTTGTTGGCGTTTTTTTTTTTGTATATTCTTGCCCCAAATTGTCTCCAATTGCTACTATTTAATATAAAACGCCTACTTCGTCTTTAATTATAGATTTGGGAAGCCTATACTACCTATACACACTCATTGGGGAATTTGCTCTTTGTTAGAGAAAAATCATTAGAGAAACTCAAATTCCTCGTCATCTAATTCATTCATTTTAAGTTAGTGCGGATAAAATTTTACGCAATCTGCGCTTTTGCTGTTGTACAACAGCCAAAATAGTTGGTAAATGCTCCATTTCAATTTTGCAACTGCCAATTCGACAGCCTTTGTTTACGTTTTCATGAGCCACAGCTGATCGGTCAGCTGTTCGGATGCAGATGCACTTTGATGCAGCTCTGTAGGAACACGAGTTTCGCATCTGCGAGAAATCCCAACCGTTCCTCACAGATGCGCTGTGTGGGAAGACAGTATTACATTTATAATAACAAACATATATTTTAACATACATTGTTTTAACGTCCGCTCTGTCCGACGTGGAGTTTTGTATTGTTTTCATTTTTAATAAGTGTCTGTATGTGTGAGCGCAGTTTTCAGTGTCAGTCTTGTAATTCATTAATGACCCTATAACTCACATCCTTTTATTTTGTAATCTTGATGGAAAAAAGCTTGCATTATTATCATTACCATTATCCAACAGTGATCAGTGATAATGTTGTTCTACTGAAAACAATTATTGCCTTGTCTTTTTATAGTATTTTTTTTTTAGAAATATGGCAATTTTTAAAAAATTTCTAAATTATAGATGTTTTAAAGTAAAATAATTTGGTAATGTATTACTCACCATTTTGGTTTATTTTGGGCATGCGTAATTCATCATACTATATTCATCATACTATATATTACCTTATTTTGTTCGTGGTAAAGCATTCGTTACCATGTTGGCTTCCAAAACCGGTTTTTTTCTTCCAAGCATACTGTTTTTACTAGCTTCTCTATGTCCGCTAGCATGTTACTTTCTATAAGATTTTAAATCTAAAGGTGCTATCAAGTTAAAACCGTCAAGTATCCATATAGAAAACCATATTTTGTTATCTTATTTGATTTTTAAATAAAACTAATATATAAATAAAATGGTTTTACATTTGCGGTTTGCTGCCGTCTTAATTATAATATATTGCATTGAAACAAAAAGTCAACATAATATAATTGAAGAAAATGCTATGAACAAGCAGTTGGAAATGCATATTGGCAAAGCAAAAGATACAAACCCAACAAACTTTATTAGACTGGTGTTATTGCGGTTAATATACGGAATCGCCTCTAGTATGGGTATAGAAGATAGATTGGAAGATACATTTAATGGGGCGTTTATACCTCCAGGAGCTAACGATGTCATTGAAGTGGATAGTGACACTGATGGGTTATTGGAAAATGTTTTTGCCGGAATATAAATAATGTATTTGTTTGTTTTTTTAAATTAAAATTATCCAGATATATATTATTAATAAAATGTTATGTTTATGTATATGCACACATATATATGTACATGTAAGAAAAAAGTTATAATAAAAAATTAATATTGCATTATATCTAACTTTAAAATAAATTTGTTTCAGATATACATACATATAAATGTACATATGTATGTATGTATTTACCCTTCAGTTCCATTCCTCCCGGATTCCCCAAGGATTGCTTGGGGCACCGGGATAGGTTCCCGCGGAAATTCGAAATTCCGCGAGGAATCCGCACCAATCCCCCGGGACAGTCCCCGGGAATTTCGAACTCGAATCCTCCAGGAATCCCGCGGGAATCGACGAGGAATCCCGAGAAAATCGTCGCGGAATCCAGCGGGATTCGCTAGCGGAATCCGCCAGGAATTCCAGATGAAAACCTATAGAAAATTCCTGAAAAATCCCCCCTTCCTAGTAAAAATCCGATGTAATTTATTCCTTATTTATTTATGGATTGTACATTTTTATTTATGTTCACTTTTTTTTGGTAGCATTACATATTTCTGCATAATTAAACATATGTATGTAAGTTAACTATGGTCAGCCAGACCAGAGTCGTTGACCACAGTCAACATCATAATGAAGCTCCGGCCAGACTGCTGACCCAGCAATTTGCCGGATGCTCGTGCACAGACGGCAGACACTGCATATTTGCGTGGCCGCTGTGAGCCTTTGTTAGCTTTAAGTTCTTTTCATATATTCAGTTCACATTTGATATTCAATAAATCAAGAGCACCAGCTCTCATTTATGAAACTCCGGCACTTAGCCGTTAACTCTCTTATTAATTATTATACTGACTGAGTCACTAGGCCAGCGGTATCGAAGGACAGTCATCCTTCCACCGTAATCTCCCTATTTCAACATAGGAGCAGTACGACCATCCCTTGGGATCTACAGCGACGTGAGCCACCACGGGCAGTAACCTTCCGCCGACCGCCCGCCACGGATATCCAACCAGCGGCAGTAACCTACTGCCGGCCCAGACAATCAATTGAGGAAGGAGGTCGAAGCGACCACCCGACTCTCCATTGGCTGCCAACCTTGGCGGTCACCAATACCCAGCCGGCTCTACCCCTGCCACGGAGGCATAGCCAGCCGGCTCTGCAATATAAACAATTTACACAAATTGGAATATTACCTATTTTAATTGGCGCCCAACTAGCAGAAGTTGGAAGATGACAGCGGCGCAAAGCGCAACCGTTCAGGGAGATAAACACACCATTACAGACCATGTAAGTGGGCCCTTCGGCCAAACTTTTTACGTCTTCAACAAAAAAATACTCCATAGTTCGGACCAGGACACAAATAAACAAGTCTAAAGTGATTTAAAAAAAAAAAAAAAAATCTATTTTAAACGTTACGACTTTAATAGTGTTTAGTGTTTATTTCTTTCATTAATATTTTTTCGCACTGTGTACGCAACATAAATTCTATGCAGCGGTGTACTGTTACCCTTCAAATACTTTTGGTGTAGAAATTAGCGTATTGTGGAGGATAAATATCAGAGCCAAGACTCTCATAATTGAGCATACCAAATTCGGATTTTTATTGGGCATTTATTATTTAAATATATAAAAGAAAAAACTTTTTTTCTGTGTGCAGATATTTTATTTGGTTTCTATATGTCGCTTCGCTCGAATAAAAATTCTCGGTATTAGCTTCGCAGTACAATTTCATTATTCTTTGTCTCCACTCTACTGCTGCGAACCCGATACGGTCGCACATGCATTTGTGTGGCAATCGTTGTTTTTTATTTTTTCTTTGTTTATCATAGCGGAGGCTCAGACCCCGCGTACCCCACACCTTGCCAGTGCTTGGCAAGGCGGCAGCTCGATTCAACGAGCGCACATACATCGTTGATAAGCGGCGGCTCCGTCCCAGCATACCCCTTGCCATGCCAACTGCCTCCAAAACAGATTGAGCAAGCAGTTCTCACCAGTGCGATTTAGCTCCATTACACATGAACTCTCCGTTCGCACAATACAGGCATAGTGACTCAGAATCCGACAGAGAAGAGCCCCGGCGCACTTCCACCCCCACTCAAGAGCCCCCGCGCACTTCCACCCCCACTCAAGAACCCCCTAATACCCCCCAAGTAGAGATGATGGACTCGAACCAGCTTAGGGGTGTAATCCAGGCCGCCATTAGCCAAGCCCTGACAGAGGCGGCCGGCCAAGCCATGGCCAGAGAAGCTGAATTACGCAAAACCATTCAAGAATTAGCCGTCAAAGTTGCAGCGGTGCAAGCGGCACCCGCGCAGACGGCAGCCCCCAAAATCAAGGTCTATGAACATTGATATTACGGGCAACATCCAGTGCAATGAGCCCCTGGATGCCGTAAAATGCTTGCCCGAGTTTACGGAAGCACAAGAGTCATATGTCTCTTGGCGGCAGGCGGCGGTAGCCGCATATTTCATATTCAGGAACTACGTAAATAGCTCACGCCACTACCAGGCGGTCGTTATAATTAGGAGCAAGATGTGCGGCCCTGCCGATGCGGTGCTGTCTTCGTTTGGCACTATACTGAATTTCGACGCGATCATAGGTCGCCTCGATTTCACATATAGTGACAAGCGCCAGATACACGTTATCGAGCAGGAGATGGGTACCCTCAGACAGGGAAGCCTCATTCTCCTACAATACTATGACGAGGTCGAGAAAAAGCTCACCTTGATTACTCATAAAGCCACGATGTCGTACTAAGCGTCGGCGGCAAGAATCTTATGTGAAAAGTTCCGGGACGACGCGCTCCGCGTATTTATTTCGGGACTCAAACGCAGACTTTCCGACGTCCTTTTCTCGGCGAAGCCGGAAGACATGCCAACTGCGTTGGCATTAGCCCAGGAAGTGGAATCTAACCACGAGAGGTACACATTCCCAACTTCGTTTGCAAAGAGCCAAGAGGATAGGGATCGTAGGCAAACCCCAAAGCCACAAGATCGCCAACAAGAAAAATCCTTTTCTCACGCAAATCAACAGTTCGGTGCTGGTAAAAACCTGCACTTTAGCAAACAGCACAGGGCGCAGGTACATTCTGTACAGCAAGAAAATACCCCGGAACCGATGGACATTGACCCATCCATTTCCAGGATGAGACAACCGACCCAGACACAGGCTTATCAAAACGGGAAGCCGACCCCCTC